GCTGTCTTGGCAGTGTTTAATGCCTTTAAGTCTTTGTCTTATGTAACGCACAATACTTTACAGTGCGTTACATAAGACAAAGACATAAAACACTGCCAAGACAGCCATTCTGCTTAGGCCCTAAGTGTATGTGTGTATGTATAATTGTACGTGTATGTCCGCGGTGTCTTGAACTCGGTAATGCCGTGAATAGGTGCGTTAGGCCCAAGGAATTGCGCGGATCACTTCCCCCTGCGGCCGTCTCCATTACATTACATGTGCCTTATTGTCGAGGCGGCAAACGACTCCCCCTTTTGAAGAGATGTCTATTTTTCGTGTTACTTATGTACATACAACAGAACTCTGATATCAACGAGTTAAAATCGATCACGTGATCCCGCGTCACGTGGACGGTAGAGTTGAATTCAAATCCGCGCGCGCTTATATATGGCGGTCATATGAAATTATCTTTGTCTTACATTACTTTCTGCGCGCAGTTTTGGAATATGTTATAAGTTTAAAAAGTGCAGCATTGCAATAATTGACAGTATACGATTAATTAGAGACCGTCCAGATACATAAGAGTCTGGCCACTTTGACAAACAACGGCTGCGTTTAAGAACAATGCACTTTATATAGTTTAATATATTAATTAGAGACACTTGACATATTTTGTATGCTGGTTTGGTATTTATGGCAAATATAAGGCTGGATTCGTTTTGCGCGAAAACTTTCAGTATTTTGGATTAGTTCTGCCATTGTTTGTTAACACCAATCAAAAACGGACGATCAGTAACCAGATTCTTACTTGAGGTTCTCTACGTTAGGTATAGATATGTTCAGCGTTATGGTTTTTGTAGATATCTTTGTGTAGATATCTTAATAGTAACCGATGTAATCAATCGTCAAAGCCGGAATGAAGGAAACACTTATTGCAGCTTATAAATATAAGATAGCTTTATTATAGCTTTACATAGTTTCTTGTCAAACTTTCGAGAGAGAACAAAACGTAACGCTTACGAGGCGGAAGTGCCAGCTCAACCTGAAGCTATACACGCACAAAGACGGAAAACGCAGGGTGTCGCTAGCGCGACCATGAACATACTAAATATATAAGAATTGTCTACTTAACAGTTTTTATTAACGGTTTTCAATCTAGATTAATTCTATTTATAAAATTATTTTAAACAAATTAATTATAAAATGTATATTTTTATATAGAAATAAGTAGAGACTTATGTTTTTTGGTATTTCATAAAGTAGGAATAGTTCTAGAACTTTAAAAGTTAGAATCAAGGCTTTAATTATATTATAATACGAAAAGAAAATTGATAATCTCTGATAAAGATTCACTATTTTATATTATTTACCGTTAGAATGATATGTATCAAATAGTGAGTGAGTGAGTGAGAGACAGAGAAAAATACACGATATATATAATAATAAACTAAAGAATATAAATTAATGTAAATATAATGTAAATGTGATGGAAGAGTAAAATAAAATATATATTTATATAGTTTTTTACATAAACATATTTTATTGAAGCCTTAAAATATAAGCTTAGCATAATTATGTCTTATACTTAATTGTTTAGTTTTAATATAATGCGAATCTTCTCATAGCATATAATATGATAGTACTACGTAACAAATTATTTCTGTGGTTGCTAAAAAGGCACTGATCATTAATATGTTCGTTTAACTTCGCAAATATATTGCTATCTATAAACTCTTGCATTACTCTACATGTAAAACTATGCATATTAAAGTGTTTTAAAGTTTTATTCGTATTTAAGAGATTACTTATTGTATTTTCAGTTATTTTACAAATATATATAAGATCTCGTGACGGATATATTAATTGTCTTTTATTCTTTTTATTTATTAAATTGACGTGTGGTTGGTCTATTAAAGTGTTGAGACATACAGTGCAATGTAATGGTATTGTAAGTTCTTTTAATACATATCCAGCTATATAACTAATAACTTCCGTTTTATATTCTGTAATAGGACTTGAATATCGTGTTTGTAATGACGAATAATCAAGGTGAATCTCATGTTCCATTCTAAACATATCAGGCCATTGTATGCGTAATGCTATGTTTGTCGTTGCATTTATGATATAAATCGGCTGTTCAGATGACATATGCAATACTGCAATATCCTCTAATGGTGTACAAGTGCCACTATTTTTGTCTCGCAATTCCGTGTGTGTAATTAATTTTTTATACGCAGATTTAAATTGTACAACTGTAGGATCAATATTATATTCATAATGAGGTCTTAAATAATTAAAAATTAAATCAAGGTTTTCCAGACTTAATTTATATGTAGGAATGTACTTAAGAAGATCATTATCAGTGCATACAAATTTGTACATATGCAACAAACTTTTGATATTCATTAATAAACCGCGAAACCCCATTTTTACTTTTGAATTAATTACGCTTCTACGTTCTGCCCCAATTGACAATGATTTAATATAAGTTGCACATTCTTGAAGTTTTCGATCAATTTGAACATAATTACTGTTATGTATGGGTTTTTTGAGACCATGTTGTCTTAAATTTATGGAGTTGAATATATCGAAGAGATCGTTAAATAGAGTTATGAATTTTACAGTTGGCGAACAATCCCTAAACTCCGGTAATCGTAATTTATTTTTACATATTATCATAGCATTAGTCATGGGACAATTCAACAACTGCATGCCTGACTTTACTTTTATTTTACTGTTACTGTGATATTGCATATGTTTAATCGTTATTTTATTTGTTAAATATAGGCGTTCAGCTTCTTGTAGTTTCTGTAGATTTGCAACATGTTTCCATTTAATGATGTTTTCGGTATCATCATATAGTTTTTCCTCAGAAGATAACGCTATTCGCACGAGTTGCATTAAACGACGCGGATTCATAAATATATATACATTACTGTCATTGGCTGGATGTTTAAACCAAGGCTGGAATGTTAATTCCATCCTTGGGTTAAACGGTTTAAGCTCCAAATTACATCCAAGTTTTCGTAACATGTCTTCATAAAATAGTGAGTAGCCACCGCATAGTGCTGTAACCAATAGTCCAGCTTCCTGAACAGCTATTAAACATTGTTTTATCAAATTGACTTTTTGTTCGTTACTTGTGTAGTTAATTAAATAATACGCAATAGGTAACTTCCAAGATGCATTAAGGCACACAATACAAAATACTAACGCTCGGCTGGCAAGTGCTGCTGTGTCACATGCGATATTATTGCCACAATCTGAATAACCGACGAATTTACCTTGATAATATTCATCGCCTTCGCGTATATATATTTCTTCGAACATTAATGAACCTATTAATTTGTAGGGAACGGAATCAGCAAATTTACGTATAGCCTTTAAAGATTCGGAATTAATGCCTGGCTCCCCGTTAAACGAAACGTACCATTTTGATATGGTCTTTGTATGTGGTAAACATTTGTAAAATTTATTACGAACGTGGTCATATGCACTTGGCGAATAAAAATGTAAACTTAAGGCAAATTCCCGTATACTAGGTTTATATATTTTTGATACGGGTAATTGTTTTCGCTTTCGTATTTCGCACTTAATAAGGTCTCTTGTACATGACTCAAAATCTTCCAGCATAATGATTTCGTCTTCTTGTATGAGATTATTTTTCTTCAGTTCTTTCAACACGTACCGTATTGAGTGAAATTTTTGTGGTGCTGTTGGATGTTTATAAGCAGTGACGGCCAGTTTTCTCTTCAATGCTCTCATTTGACGTACGTGTACTTCTCGCATTCGCTTCTTTGTTGGCGAATTCAATATTCTTTCTGGAGAAATACTTGTGGAACGGCTCATCCTTTCAGAATTAATACTATATATTTTTGTTGTAGAGGTCTCTTCTGGTCTTTTCACTTGTTCACTACCTATAATAATATTATAATTAAATCATATTCATATCTACATATAATAAATACAAATCAATGAAAAGAAAATAAGATTGTTAAAACCAATATGCTAAATTATTTTTTATGTATATAAATTTAATGAATCTCAATACTAACTAGCTCCATCATTTTTTATATTTTCCTCACTGGGTTCTTTGTATGTTCCGACTTTGCAGGCATCTTCAGTTAACTAAAACATGAAAATCTATTAAGTATCTCATTATTGTATATAAAAATCTCATTATTGTACATTAAAAATGATTAATTAGAATAGAATTTGTATTATTTACTTACAGAACACATAGTATCCCGTTCCAGTGGATTACATTTATCCATATTTAACGCTTCCAAAGACTTTTGTTGCATCCCATTGTCGTTTAAGAATCTAAACAAATAATACAATTGTTAAAATCATCATATATGAATTTCGTACATAACCTAAATGGTAATAGTTTATATTTTATATACTTACGAGTGATTTATTGTTTGCTCTTTCTCCTCTTGCGGAGCGTTTTCTATAGAGATCCGGTTTCTGCAACTAATACAAAAATTCATGTTACTTAATACGTTATATCCTTCGCGTTCACTCGTGTTGCTGCGCAAAATGGTATGGCACAAAAACAAAAGCTTGACGGCACCGGGCACCGCGAACCCCGGGCACGCTTGAAATCAATACTCCGAATGTTTCCGAGTCTAACCGAAGATTGTCGAGTTCGCCCGTTCTTCCGTCAATTGGCTGATTTAAAATAAAAATATCTGATTGGCTGGTTCAGTAGAAAAACTACAGGCACCAGGGGCTGTGAGTGGCTGTGGTAAATCGCAACGTGGTCAAACGGGGGTGCATTTTACGCATGATGCGCATGTGCGTTATTTATCCTTGTTGTTCATCAAACGTTAAACAAGGATAATGGCCGCGTTCAGCAGACCAAGCCGCTCAGTAGCAGTCGAACGTGATTGGCTCTTACTTTTAGAACCAACCAATCAACGCGGAGTGTTAATAAGACGAACTCAACAGTTGTGTTTGCTGAACGCGGCCAATTGATGCATCTCGGATCTCGGGACCCGGGACGCTCCCGCAAGCTTAGGTTCCGTCTATGTTTTAAGTCTATGGTTTCGATTGAGTTATTATGATTATTACAATTTTTTATCCTTCCACAACTGGACGATTGATTTGTCACCACTTGTCACGACTTGTGTTTACCGGTGTTTACATCAGTTTAATTGTGGGGTGAGAACTGTGCTAAAGGAAGGACGTGCGAAATACGAACAGGATTATCACGGCGCCTGCTATTTTCACACGGCGATCCACATACTCGATCTCATTCACGATCGAGAAAATCGCGTAACGGTAATTCAACAACCATCAAACCACTGTGCATCGAGAGAAAGAGTGAAGAGAATAGCGAGTTCTGACGCGCTTTTTTTCGCAATTACCGGTAAAAAAAAACTTTTTTTTTACATAATATAATATTATATATATAACGACAAATAACTTGAAGAAAAAAGTCTTCTTAATGTAATGCTATATTTTTGTCATTAATTACAACAAAAAGACAAGTTCTTGGGTCGATATCTAATACGTTTTACTCTACTTTCAGGTTTTTTAACATTAAAGGGACGAGCATGGCGGAAAAATGTACGAGTGAAAACGATAAGGACTGTCCGCCGGCGAAGAAAGTTAAATTGAACGACGAGAGCACCGATGTGGTCGAGAAGAATCCAGATGAGAATGATAAAAGTAAGACAGAACTGGATCTGTCGGGCTTCAAAGTGACGAGGGTACTGCAGAATAATTGTGCACGGAAGTTAATATGCATGGAAGGGACGTTCGAGGGCCACGAGGGCTCGGCGATTGTTCTGCTGGAGCAAAAGAGTTTTCCTCATGACAAGGTGATCTTGGAGAAGGATTTCTTCGACGGAAAGACGATCTTCCGGGAGATCTTTAATAACGACATCTACAGAAACTACAATTGCTGGCCGACCAAAGAGCATAATGGTATATCAATTTGTCTATTTTTTTAATTTTTTATGTATCTTAATGTAGTCGACATTTTATAAGCAAATGTCTCTTATTCTTTAAGGTCTGCATGCGACCGTGATATATCCTGCTACGCAAACACACATCGACAAATACAAGAGACAGGAGTTATATGTGATAGATGAAACATATGAACTTTATCAGCAGGTCACTCTCCCTTACATAGAATCGAAGAGTCTGGGCTTGGAGGTATAATTTATTTGAGATATAAGATTGAATCATACTTGGCATAATTTTACTTGAAAATCACTAGAATATAAAGGGTATTTTATTTCTATATTATTAATATTTTTTCAGTGGATAACTAATATTCTGGAGCACAAGGCTGAACAGGAAAGTGTTATTTATGAGGATCCTGACAAGGATAATGGTTTTGTGTTAGTGACCGATTTCAAGTGGGATAAACAGATGGACACGTTAAAGTTATTGGCCCTGCCATTTCAAAAAATAAGGTCATTGAGAGAGTTGAATGGATCTCATCTTCCTTTATTAAAAAATATACGAGATGCCGGGACGGCAGCGATTAGTAAAAAGTTTAACATACCTGCGTCGCAGCTCAGAATGTATTTCCACTATCAGCCATCGTATTATTATCTACATGTGCATTTCTGCTATCTTATGTTTGAAGCGCCAGGTAAATTGGTGTAAAACTACAAAAAATTAACTGAAAATATGTATTGTTTTATGGATAATTTAAAAATGAATATTTCTAACTGGAGGATTTCTTTTCTTTACCTAGGAATATATGCGGAAAAAGCGCATCTTTTATCAACAGTTATAAGAAACTTGGAACTGATGTCGGACTATTATACGAAAGCAGTACTTTCGTATGTAGTGTTTAAAGGCAGTCCGCTTTATGAAAAGTTTAAATCACATGGAGCCCTACAGACATCGACATGTGAAACGCAATAGACTGTAAATATAGCGTAAATAAGACTGTTTTACTTTGAACGAACGTAAGTTATATTTTACGTTTTTATATCAGACGACAAGAAATTGATATGTATTTTATTTACTATTTGAAAATAAGAAAAATGATTAACAAAACATGCAGTGTTGTTAATCAAAAACATCTACAGTAGAAATTAAGCGTATTAAATCTTCGTATTAATAAAATATATTAGAACCACAGACGTCAAATTACTTACAGTTAAAAATTAACAAATAGAAAAAAACAGATTGAAGAGTACTTTTATATATTTTAATTATATATATATATATATGTGTGTATTACATAAATGAAATGAAAGATATGCTAGTATTTATTTAAAAAAAAGATTTATGTGAAATGCAATATATATCATAAAATTATAAGTTTTTGTTTTTTTTTGTTGTAGCCGTATTAAGAATTCTGATAAAAGTGAGATAGTGTGTAAATTTGTTCCTTGCATTACTTATACATCAAAATGAGAACAAATTATTTAATTTCTTGTTTTTTTTTTTTTTCAGTATAATGAAAAAACAGGTTATAATGAAAAAACAGAAATTTTGAAAATTAGAAATAATTAGAAATTTACATGCTAATACGTAATGCACAATTGCGAAATCAGAAGTGTTATATTCGCATAAGAAAAATTTACATAAAAGTAGATTGTTAGACATTTAATATAGATTAGTAAGGGCGAAAATAATATACTTCACTAATTATAATTTCTCTTGTCGCTTTGAAATCTTTTTATTCATTTGTATTTGTATACGACGCATTGACACATTTAGTAGAGAGCAGTAAAGTATTTCTGGAACATGAGAAAAGAAACTTACACAATATACATACGTATTACGTATCTGTGTATATGCATTCTTGATTTATTAAAAATTCGGTCATAATCGCGTTGTGTAGTACAGATTTCTTTAGATTTGTGGTAATCGTTCACTTTCGTGTGTATCCGAGAGTAAAATAAAACCATTTGTTCTCAAGACTAATAGGAACCTGTAAGTACAACTGTGCTTTTTATTAATCAACATATAACCCGAGTGTGTTAAAATAAAATTTCATATTGCTGCGTTCTGTATGATACTGCCAGATAACGCGCTTGCTTCTTATATTGCTCTGTAGTTGCTATTACATTGAATGCATCTTACTCTGTTTACAAAAGAGAGACCACATCGATCAGATTGACGTTATTCAGTAGACCGACCTCTACAATTTTAATTGATTGCTTCTACTACAAGCAAATCATCTACGAGAGTTCATTTTCATTAAACGAAATAACGTTTATGCAAAATAAATCGAAAATACCGGGTCGTGTCGCCAGTGTCAGCATCAATATAAGCAATTCACATACTTAAGTCATGGAAATTCTGGAAATTCCTCTTCTTGTTTTTAATCACCGTGCAAAAGAAAGCTAGCTGTATCTGCTGTATACACATGAATATGAAAATAGAATCGTGCAAGAAATAAAAATGTAATGTCATTAATCGTATCACAATACAGAAAAAAATTGAATTGGAGTTTAATCAATATTTATGTAGTCGTCGATATATAAATTGTACGCAATATGTATCAGTTTTTACAATGTTTATTTTAATAAATATTGTTATATGGAGAATATTTGTAGTGGTACGTAATACACAATAAAGTCATCCATTATTAATATCATGGATAATCTCTACTTCCTTAGGTTTCGAAAATTGCGGTCTTTCTGTATAATTATATATGATTTGAGTGTATCTCATGTATATTCGAAAATAATTTTCTTTTCCAGCAAACAAATGCGTTTATTTTTATACGGTTCTAGAATTTTTCTTTTTTAGGAACAAAATATGAATTTCTAATAGTGAAGCTGTAGTAACACTGTTCCACACGTATCGCTATCAATCTACAAAAATCATGAAAGAATCGCCTCTCTTCTATGAAACTCGCGCTATCAAGATATTGCAAGAAGAGGAATCTCAATGTTCTCACATCTTCTTTTAATAGGAGATTATGTATGATCTCGAAAGGATGAAAGGAAAATTTATAAAGCGTGTATTTTAATATGAAAACAAAAGTCAAATATATTCTGTATGACCGACTGATAGACAGAAAATATGCAGAAGAGAGAAGGATCATTATAAATATAAGATTGTTGTAGCACCAGGGCCACAGAAGTGCTATCGTTCGAAACAGGATTCTCAAGCTCGGTTACGAATTAACAGTAGAAACGCATGTATGATAGTGTCGTACATATATACTGGTTCACGAGTTTCACGATCAATCGTAAGAGTCTTTTTTTAGCCGGATTCTTATTATTCTTTTTTTCCCCTTTTTAAATACTGCCTCATTTATGTGATATAAATGTATACGTAGTACGTTAAAACGCACTATATATAGTTCTCTTCTCAGTTAGGCGTAATGTCACATACTTGCTTAATTTTATTAAAAAAAAGAAAAAAAACCGTTACAATGTGTTAAAAATTTCACTCGACGATCCCGCGTGTCGGTTTTGTAATGAATCGTTAATAAGGGCATTTGCGTGTTACGGTCGCACGATACATGAGATCAATAGCGGTGTTGCTAGTTATTGTTGCATTTAATATGCTACACTCGTCGCTCGCGACGGTAAAACTTAATGCTACACGCAATGACAATAAGTACGTAGTTAAGTGTTTATGGAAGCGCACAAGACGTTAATAACTAAATGTAAAAAAAAAAAAAAAAGGAAAGAAAAGTCGTCCGCGATACTTTTCCCATTGGAATTGCTGATCGGATTCGACGTCGAAATCTCATTATAAAAACGAAAAGGCTTTTTATTGTCCTCACCAACTTAATAAATTAACTATGTAATATCAGGAAACTTACAAATTATACAGGAAGCAGGTATTACAAAAGTACCTGAATTTTCTTTTGTGCATGTCTCTAATCTTTCTCTCTCTCTCTTTCTCTTTCGCTCTCACACATGCATCCGAGAATGCTGAACGAAATCTAACGTAAAAATTAAGTACCTTGTTTACGCACGTCTTCTTGTCGCGCGAAATGAAACGATGCATTTGGAAATAGAAAAAACTTACCTATTAAGCGATCGATTAAAAGCGATCTCATTATTAATTTATTATAAGAGAACATCGTTATGTAGTAACTAAAGTAATTATACACATATATGTATGTGTATACGCGTAGACGGCTGTATGTATTCCAATGTGCACGCGATGTACGAGTATGCACAAATAAATATGTAAAACGAATGTATATTTACATATGATGATTATGTACGTGTTTATCTGTGTGTATATTGCGCGTGTTTCTCTTTGTGTATGTGTATGTTTATGTATATCACAATAACTCAATGTATACGATATTATCTCGCATAATATTAATTGCTTATCAAGCCAGCCTTCTCTCTGGTAGAATCAAGTCCAAGATAAGTAAATTAGCCAAAAGCAAACGAAAAGAAAAGAAGAAATAATCACTATAGCACACGTCCTGGTCAGGTACACGTTATTCACGATCGACTTTTTTTTTGGAACAAATCAATAGTCTCTTTGAACTTTATTTTCTTTCTTTCTACCTCACTGACAAGCCTGTCGTTTTAGCATTTAAACCTCGTTATCCAATCGAAATCGGCAAATCGTGCTAATCGTTAACGTAAATCAAAGTGACTATGCCACGCAAGTGCCCCAACAATTTACACCGATATGTTTACGTAGCGGTATCAAAGTTCCTTTCCGGCAAATATTTACATGTCTATATCGTTTTCGCTACATTATCTGTGTATAAACGAGTGTAAGCAAACGCAAATCTAAATCGAAAACTTATTTAACGATTTTATTCGCAAGATCAAAAGTAAAGTATAAGTAATATCTTTGACACTGGGACAACAATTCGGAAACAGAAATGCACATACGGTTTACCATTTCTTTCCCCCGTAAATTAGCAACCGTCGGAGTTATTTCATGAAGTACACCACAAGTATACACGATATACACGTCACTAACATATGCAAATTAGAAAACATCTACGTAACTTTCTTAGAGTAACAAACTAGCACTGCTCTTTTGAAGACAAATTCAAAATTTAATAATATACACATTGTGTGGGAAAGCCTTTACAACGTCGTTCTTTATATGTGGATCATCCGGGAAATCGTGGACTCATTATTCACATTATCCAATGAGTCCAAAATACTAAATCTTAGTAAAGTGAAAGGGTTCTGTACGCTTCTTTCCATAGAAGGCGAAAAACTTTTAATGTTGGATACCTAATAAATATTTGTGCTTGTAGAACTTCCTCCCTTCGCTTGACTAGTTGGTCATGATCCACTACTAGTGTCCATAAGTAAATTGTCATGACAGTGCTTTGTATGTACAATTATGGAAGAATGACCGTAATAGTTAACAAGTTTACACAACATTTTGACGTAATGAAGCAAGTACTGGCTTTCTTGCGGATAGAATAAAATCGCAAACTTTATTAACGTCGATTAATTATTCAATCAATTCCACACACACACTCACACACATACACACAATCTTTGATCACTATTGATTAATTATTCGTAATGCCATCGTGTGCTCTTTCAAACAACTCTTTCAAATACTCCACGTAAGCCAATTAAAATTAAAGTAACAATTTTTATCATTTAATTTCCAAGGTAAAGGTACATACATCTATCGAAATCAAAATTATAATATATAGCACCCGCTCAAATAGCGTAATTAGTGAATCAATAGACTGATAGAGATCGATTTTCGCGAATATTTAAAATTATTGGCGCTAGATGTACGCCATATACAAATAATATTTTTATAAGAGTAAACACAGATCTCTCTGTAAACATTATGTACCATACCTTCAATGGTGCCATAATTTGTCAAAGTCATGTAATATTTGCATACATATATGTATGTATATGTAGACGTATGTATTTGTACATGTGTATGTATATATATGTAGCTATGTATATAATTAATATATATACATACATATATATCAACATATAGCATAAATATGTACATATATATATATATATATACATATTGTATGCAGATATATACGTTAAGAATAATAATTAAAAAAAGGAAAACAAAACTTCTCTTTTTAACTTTGAAATTATATTAATGGACGTCACATAAGAAAAAAGAACTTTATCCATATTTATATCTAGTCACAATGTAGTTTTATCAACTCTTTTTCAATGCTAAATAACGAAATAAATATTCCTCTTACTTAAATAAAGTGATCTTATAATATGAAAATAACTTTTTCTATCTTTGTACTTGTAATAAAATTATCATTTTGCGTTTAAATTCTTCTTTTTTTCTTAACCAAATATATACGGCATTACATAGTTTCATTTACCTGCATGATTGTTATATAAATGCCAAGTTTTTTTTTTAATTTAGATCAAGTTAGCCATCACATCTTTTCATTTCTAACGAGTTTTACGAGTCAATCGTTCTTATCACATTGGAATTTATATACTTTTGCCTACACAAAAAATGTAATGGCCACTTCATACCGTTTTGAAAGCCAATAACATAAAACAAAATTCTTAAACTAAAAGTATGAAAATTTAAAAGCACAGAAATATGCGCATGTGTGTATGTGAGAGTATCATCGTACGGCTTATGATTACCTAAAACAAATTTGGCGTCGTGACATTTACTTTGATCCTTCTTGAATAATGCTCATATTTCTTTTTATGTTGTCAATGGCTATTTTCTGCATGGTGATCGCATAACATAAAATGGCTCGACACGCCAATGATATTTAAATAGTTTGTATGATGGACTAGCTTCAGTTATACGACTTGAATAAGAATGCATCTTTGACAAGTCATTGTATGTTTAGGCATATACTGCAGGAAGATCGTAATATGGATATTAACTTTTCCCAGCTTCTCGTTTACCGTGGCTTTGCTGATAAAATAAAATACCTGTCATCATTTTCCTGCTACTTTACATAAAGATCGATTTGAATTCTAGCATATAACTCGCGAGTGCTCTGAGATAATTAAAAAATGTACACAACGTTCACAAAAAATCTATATCATAACGTTAAGCATATGACAAATGTATGTATAAGATAAACTTTCAGAGATACTCTTTTAAAATATAAAACACATTTTACTTACATATAAACTAACGATCAGATATGATTTTTTCAACTGTTAGGCATTATTATCGATATTTATGCACGTGTAAAAAGAAATAGTTCATGATTCACTGGTTATTCATAAATTGTTATATATCCGTAAGATCGACCTACAGCATAAAATGTTACAAATTAAGACTGTCACTGGATTTCCTTGACATTCTAGAACCAGTGCCGCGTCGCATGATCATAAGTAATGTCAACGGTTCCATTCCTTTTTGAAACGACAAGACACGATACAAAACATGTTTCGCGAAGTTTCTCATGGAAGACTTCCAGGTTTCTTTTACATTAGGAGGATCCATATATAATAAAAAATATGTCTCGTCTTAAAGAAGATGGATACAGAAAAGATCCAGCAGTTGATAACGATAAATCCATATTTTTGCGTACTTGTAAACTGAATGAGAATATTTCCACGGAGAAACTTGAAACATTCTTTTGTAGTTGATGTATCCTACTATCGGGTTCTGATGAGAGAATTGCAGTTCCTTAAGCTTCAGTCGACGCTACAAGGGAACTTTTAGGCGTGTACGCTGTCGCATTCGGATCCAAATTCGACACGGTACACCCCGGACTTTCATTCGAACGTATTTTTGTTCCTGCTACTCTCACTTCACTATTTAAACGGAGCTTGGACGTCGCACAGGTTGGCGCTGGACCAAATGTGTCTTGTGGCATCACAGCTAAATCTTGCGCTATTTTTGTTTTCAACATCTCAATTTCTTTCTCTTGAGATCTGATTAAGCCTGATTTAAACAAAAAAAATATATGTGATACATACATTGCTGGGGCAATAACAATGTGCAGTATAATATATGCGTTTCTATTTTCTTTAATAAATGTTCACACTTCCTTCGATCGTATACTACAAATACTAAAAAAATGAAATTTAAAATATAAAAACAAACAAAAAAATGAAGCAAAAATATATGAAACGCGAGTAAAGCGTTGTTTTAATTACGGTTACGTACCTTCTCGGATTTCTAATTGCCGCTTGACCTCGCCGAGTGCCGAAAAAAGATCAAGTTTTATACGTGTTTCTGCGCTCAAGCTGTTTTCCAAATGTGCGTTTTTATCTTGCAACGCATTGAGTGCGGAGAGTAGAATTTCACATTCTCTGTGGTTCTCCTTAAAACGTGCTGCGTCGTTTTCCAATGCGTTACACCTGAATCAACGTGTCATATATACCTTTGCGCATTGCTCATATTTTGAATCTTATTATTAAAACAGTTTACGAATTTATGCTCTTACCTTTCTTCCTTTAATTTGAGTTCTCGGCGCAGACTTTTAAGGTCTTGTTCCATTTGAGATCTTCGACTTTTACATGCGTCAGTGCACTCTTGTCTAATAAGCGGAGGTGGCGGCGGTGGAATCGCGGAGCGTGCCTCTTCAGCAGCTCGTCGTGCCCTTCGTTCGGAGAGCAAGGACGCTTCGCATGCACTACGTTGTTTTCGCTCTTCTGCAACCCGCTTTTCCAACGATGTCATTGTTTGCTTATCCAGTTGACGCGCCGTTACTAGACCATGTAATCTACAATGTTAAAATTTATGTTATAGAATTCGTTCAATTTTATTCAAGAGTCGAAATAAAAATTTCCTCCAAATCCAAAATTTTGCATATCTAATGGTAAAAATAATACTGCGTTATTTTTTGAAAAAATTTATGGAGGATTTACAAGAGAATTTTGGTATGAAAAAGAAGGCAAATTCTCTAATATTTAAGAAGTTTTTTTTTATATAAATATCAAGTATAATAATTATTAATTATTTATAATTAATTATTGAATCTTCACAATATAAACTATAGTTCCACATGTCTTTTATATACTTTCAGGTTTAATGTTAAAAAAAAGAACTAAAAGAATTAATGACTTTTTTGCATATCCTACCACAAATGATAATTTTTCTTTGAATATTGATACATGTAGAAAAGAACGTAATGATTAATAATTCCAGTATATATCCAAATCGTAAGAATATGTAAAATAAGCATAAATAATTATATAACATATGTTGTATATTTAAATTTAAATAAAATTTGAAGTTACTAAAAAACCTTTATAATAGCTTATGTAAATATATTTATATATACAATTTTTCTGTTCAAAAATATCAATAGGATAGTTTATGTAGATATATTTAAATACACATTTTTTCTGTTCAAATACCAACAGACAAAAAAACAAGACAAAAGAATTATCCACAGATTTGTAAAATACATCATAGTTTATATATAGTTTAAAATTAAAAATTGGAAATGTAAAATTATGTTAAAATAATAATAATAATATTATTTGAAAAATAATATTAATTTTTTAAATATTAAAAATACTATTTTAAAATGTAAATAATACTAACTGTGGTTAGATTTTTTAAGTAAATATATAAATTCGTAGTTATAATTGCAGTCATAAAAATAATTTACAAATAATACACTTACTTGCTTTGCAATTGATCATTATCATGTTGGAGTTGTTGAATGTCGCCTTTAGCTTGTCGCTCTCCGTTGAGCAAGACATTGACTTGTGATCGTAATTCTTGTTCCATTTGCCGACTTGACTGCAAATCTGATTTCAAACGTTTTATGTCTGCCTCGAGCCTGCGACACACCAGTAACCTATTTCAACGACAAATCATGCTGAAGAAACTGATAGGAAGTCTATCAAAGAGATACAAGACGGTATAGAATTTGACATCTAAGTGTGATATACCAGATTTGTCATTAGAGTTTCAATCTGTGCCTTCGAAAACATGTGGGATTATCAGCAGAATTTCTGTAGTAACTTATAGTAATGTATTTAAAAGAAAAATTCCTCTCGTATGATATACCTTTGATAATAATCGTCTTGCTGTTTCTGTTGCTCTGCCGTGATATCACTCGTATTTTTAACCTGTCGAGTCTTACGCTCCCGTTGGGCATTGGTGGTCGATGATGAATCCCGACTTTCTTTCACGTTATTCCATTTACCCGTTACCGAACCGTTCGTTTGTGATTTTATCGTGGTGTGTCCGCAACCCTTGATAGATTTGTCCTTTTCTACCTCGTTTACGTCAAAATCATTTACAGATCTGTTTTAAGAAATTACATCGATAAGTATTTTCAAGTGTAATTAAAGAGAAATATATTTTTCAATATGAAAATCAACCATACCCCAGCCTTTCGATGAGCTGTATGTCACTGTGCGATACTGTACTTCCATTACTGTGTATAAATCTCTTGTCGCTCTTGTCCGACGGTGAATTATTTGATACATTGTGTTTATTATGCTGTTCTTCCTGCTTTTCACTCTTGTCTAAGGATTTTCTATGAGTACTTTTGGTAGTAGCACTCTGTGTTTGTGATGTGACCTGGCTACTATTGTGCACCCCGCCATTTTGTACGTTCGTTTCTATGGAATTGTTATTGCCCTCTAAAAGACCAAGCAGAAATATTAAAACGCGTGTAATCGCAACAATTACAGGCACACACGTATACGAGATAGTAATTGATAATAAATACAAGCTACCTCTGCTTTTTTCAGGACTTGGGTTATACTGTGGACTCAATTTGTGTGCTTGAGTTTTGACGTGCTGTTCTAACGACGCAGTGACTTGTTGCGTTTGTGACTGCACTTGCGATTGGATTTGCTGCATCGACATAGCTTGTTGCTCTAGAGGCAGTGCTTGCTGCAGTAATTGTAGATAGAACTCGTTCTCCTTTGCCACGTCTTTCTGTTTTCTCTGTTGAAAGCAAAAATGAGTTAAGATACATAAATATTATATATCAGCGTGATAGTGTGCGTTATGCAGATATATTTATTTACAATAAATCAATGTAAGATTGTTGAAGACTAACCTGCCTCATTCTGTAGCCTACGTAGCTCTTGAAACCAAAGCCCAATGTAACTACAGGATAGCCAATGCTGGAAATACACATTGCAGAAAAATTTACTTGGAGATAAACATCAATAGATTATTTTGATAGGTATATGTGAGGCGTAACGTTTTTTGATGTTATATTTGTCTGCAAAAATAATGATAAAACTATTACCAATGTGCTGCAAACGGCCGACAGAGGTCTAGGTGAAATGGCATATGACGCAAGTCACGCAACCGCACTGCAGCCTCTATATATAGAAATAGTAGCCACAGCATCACAGTTGGTAGACACACTCCTTTATCTGTATAAAATACGAATGTTCGATTATTATTTTATATTCATTAAAAATCAGGGTTCCTATGAGTAGTGTTCTAGGTTCTACAAATATGACGTGAGCATATCAGTATGAGAAATTATTTTGATAGACATTGCAAGCTTGTCCATATTTCAAATAAATTTGTTTTCCACGTACCTGTGTGCCAGACGTATTGCACCCAAACATAAGTGCTGGCAGCGAAAAACAGCCAATGCACAGGGATGAAAAAGAAGCAAATCATGTCTGACGTAAGTGCAATACAAATAAAAAATACAGAGAAGGCCTGAAAAAGAGAAACAGAAAAAAAAGACAGTGAGATTACGCCAGTACGCGCGATAGTCTCCAATTGCGCAACGTTGACACTCACCAAGCCTTGATATTTAAAGGAATCGTAAACGCTTCGGAGGAGCAGCCAGAACGGCCACAAAAATTCAAAACGAAATTCCAAAATGAAGTCTGCCAAGATCACCATTGCCCATAGCAGAAGAAACTTCAGATAGAGCAAGGTACTGAAACAAACAAACGTGGATTATTTTGATTGTACGCTACATTCGCCATTCGCAGAATTACAATTCACCGATATACATCTGTATACTTTATACAACTACATTGTGTGGGCCTCTGCGAGGCACCTGTTTTCCTTTCTCTCAAAATATATTAAGTAAATATGTTTGGGTCGCGCGATATGCGATACAAGATACAAGTCGGCGTTATCGAAAACACACGGAAAGCTTACATAACGCCGAGATCTCACGTTCTCCGAGTAGAAAAAGAAAACGAGAGGGAGAAGTTCGTCGGTTATCGCGGCCGTTTTACTCCGTTATCGCGGTCGCTCGCAAGCCGCTACGCGGCCCATCACATGGAGTCATTGGAACGTGAGACACACGTATGTGATAAGTATGTGGAGAGACGTTTGGACGAGAGGCCGCGGGGCGAGAGAAAGAGCCCGAAAACGGAGACGCGGATGGCTAAGGATATCTGACCCGGAGGTAAATGTCAAGCGGGACGAGAGCGGCGTCGATTCGGCGTCACTCGGCGCGCGCGATCATCGCCGCCGCCGTATTCATCACCGTCGTCGTCGTCAACATGAGCATCATCATCATCATAATCAGCATCGTTATCATCATTAATGTCACTGCCGTCGTCCTGACCTGTAACATTCGCGTCCTCCGGTGCGGGACGAGGCAGGGGGGGGGGGGGAGGGAAGGGGGGGGGGGAGGGGGGAGGTTTTGGTTACGTTTTTTGATTACGAAGGGGAAACGGCCATTCCCCGACGTAGGTGTACGTACGTACCCGTACGCGTACTCGCGTACGCATATGGCGCCGCGTGAGAATTTACCTTCCGTAGATTCCCTCGGTGAGCTTGTTGCGTTTCAAGGGCCTCCGAAGCTTACCGCACTCGACATTTCTCCTCTTCATATTCCTCACGGCACCTTTCACCACCACCAAGGCTTAAGCGACGTTACTCGCTACACGCGCGCGCTACGGGGGGGTAAAACGGAAAAAAAGCGGGCCGCGGCGACGGCGGCGGATACACACACGCACACTCTCTCTCTCTCTCCCTCGAGGGGGGGACCTCTTCACCGCGCGGGGGTAACACTCGCGTGCGAAAAAACTCGGGCCTCGGCTCGTTCGCTCTCACGCGCGCGCGACTTCTATCAGTCTCTTTTGTTGTCATTCGTCTGTGGCCAGACTCGAGGTCTCACGGCGGTTTACCAAGCAGCTGATTGGTCCATCGCGGGACATGGCGCTTTAATCAGCGGACGCGAAATCACCTGCCGATTGTATTAATCGCGCGGCGCCGCGCACCACCGACGCCACCACTACCACCACCACTACCACCGTCGCCGCCGCCGCCGCCGACACCGTCCTGCTTGCGTCGCGAAAAATCGCTAAAGACGTTTTCCTCGCTCGAAGCGTTTTCTCGCTCGCTTCGCTTCAATCGCTTGCTCGCCTCGATCGCCGGCTGATCTTTCTCTGTTTCTCTCTCTCTGTCGCGCGCGCGATTTTCCGTCTCACGACGCGATTTCGGGCTCTCAGCTCTCTACGAGCCTTTATCGATCGTAGATGTCTCCCGACCGTGCTGCGGTCGGTCCATCGGCTCGTTCACTCGCGTTAACAGCAGCGCTCCGCGCCGCGCGACCTGGCAACACGCGCCGCGACCCGCGCCGCTTCGTCTCCCCCTCCAATCCCACCCCCTGCCACCCACCCGTCCCTCCTGCGCGTCTCGCTCCTCTTTTCTTTCCGTCCTTCTCTTATCTCTTTCTCCCTTCCTGGCGCGCGTTACGAAGCGAGGACGCGAGGACTAGGAGGTGATGGCTTCCTCCCGCGGCGGAGGGACTTTCGGCGCGTGCAGCTGCGTCCGAGAACCGTTATGGGGTGATCTCGCGCGTCGCCTGAGTCGCCTCGAGGTTACGAAATCGCGAGGGGCTCCCTCGTCCCTCGGCCGTCGGCGCGACCGGCAGGTGCGACACGGAAAGCGGAAAGCGGAACCGCGCTTTCCATCCTCTCCCCCTCCCTCCTGTTCCTCCGATAAAGGGCCGTGTCGCGAGTCGCGAGCGAACGGCTTTCCCGCCAAATCCGAGCGCTCGTCGACTCGCCGAAAGTTCAATTCAATTGTCCTCTTGTCGCGCTGTCAAAAGTCAAAAGTGTTATAAGCTCCTTGCACACACAATAGGCGATAGCGATAGCGATAGTGACAGCGACAAGGTTGCCGACAAAGCTATACCTTTGTCGGCAACTTTGTCGCTGTCGCTATCGCTATCGCCTATTGTGCAAGGGGCTTTAAACGCGGACTGTCAACTGTTCAGTCGTCGTATTCGCGTCCCTGACGAGTGGTTCGTCCTGGCCTGGCCATTTTAGAGCTGTACAGCTCACAGGCCAATAAAGAAGAAGAAGAAGAGTCGTAATAGTCGTATTCGCGTCTGATCGCGGATCCCTGCCCGCTGCGAGCCTAGCGAGTCGGAGAAGATCGAGAGATCGCGCATAGGATCGTGCCCCTGGGATCAAGATCAGAGAAACGACGTTAGAAAGGACCAACCTTCGATATATTTGCTTGGTACAAATATCTAATATTTTCTGAACGCGTCAAGAATCACGTCTAACCTAACAGATAACCTGGATAAAAGTATACGATTATGTCCTGTGTGTGTATTCAGGTGTAACATGAGAAACAGATACCTAATTCTATTCGGAACTCGGTCGAGTCGATGCGTATATATCGTAATATCGTTTCACTAATTTGCATTTCGTTTTAAATCAATATTCACATACCGTAAAATGATTAAGAGCCAGTAAACGAGCAAAACTAAAGCATAAAAAAATTTTGTTTGTTTGTTTTTTGGCCCTTGATCACTTTACAGTATTTTATTATACATACGAGTTTGCTCCTCATTTTTACTTCATCAATATTCACGTTTCAGGGAATGTATATTTCATCTCAAACGTGTGCTAAAATGAGAAGAAAAAGGATAGCAATATACAGGATCTTTTCATCCTGAAATAAGCTACGGAATATTCCCTTCCAATTTTTTGCACTTAGGAAACACTCCGTATAACTCATAGATATAAAAAAGAACAAAGGTAGTAACGTCATTCATAAATACATCAATACCCAATAAGCGAGAAACATCAAGAAACGTTTCAACTACACTTGCAACAACGTTGTGGCGTTAATGCAATACAGTTAAAATGTTTATTGATGTTTCTTGCTTACTGGATATGCAAAGTACGTAAATACTCTTCTCTAGTTCAAGTGCAAACTATGAATATTTACAATAGCGCGATGTAACACGTCAATTAGTTATTCCTCACGTTCACTGATTACGCAAGTGAGATAAAAAAGCGTCGTCCGGTTGGCCGGCGATCGTTAAGCTGCGCGATGCATATGTATATATGAAGAAAAAAAATATAAATCGACCAATTACGCGTTCGATGTAGAGCGCGGCAATGTGACGTTGGACGCGCGATTGGTCAGCTTCGTCGCGGCACGTTACGCGCGATTGCAAGCCCATCTGGACAAGCCTTTAAACGCCTTTCGCGTTGTATTTGGATATATAGATTTCACGGAAGGACAACGGGTGTCGGGTGTGTCCATTTGACGCAAGCACGTCACTTGATGCAGCGGTGCCCCACACGTTTCCTCGGGAGCTTATCGCCCGGTGGATCTTTCCCGCGCCGGATCGAACTGCCAGCGGATCAAATTGGCAACTCGATTGGATTTGACTCGGATCACTCGGATGAACGACGGCAGAGCCCGGCAAGGATGGAGAACGAGAAGTATTCGTCGGACGATCGTAAGTTGATGACCTACGTGGCGTACAGCGTCATTCTCGTCGCCGTCTTCGCCTCGGCCGTGTACAGGGCGACAAAGGACCGGGCGGTGGTGTCGGTGGTCGCGACCTCCTTCGTCGCCTCCGTCTTCCTCGTGATCCTCCTGCTCTGCGACATGACGCTGCGCCTGTGTCAGACGCTGGTCACGTTCACCACGGACGTGGGCCAGGAGTCCGAGGAGAGCTTCTGGTCGGTGGTGAAATATCATTTCACCCTCAACACCCCGTCGGCGATGGTCGTCGTTGTCGGCGTGCTGCTGGTCTTCGGCCTGATCGGCGGCATCGGCACGTGTCCGTTCAACTACGCCTGGGACTTCGGACCCTGCGTCTGTGTGCCGCTGATAATGTTCTCCTTCTGGCTGCTCAGGATGTGCAACCTGGCCGAGTGGGAGACGGGATCGCTGGCCGACCTCAGTGCCATGAAGGGTCTGGATTACGGCACAGGTATGGCGTACAGCTTTTACTATGGCTACCTGCGACTGATCTTACCGTCCACCGGAACTTCCACGAAGGGTATAGTTGAGAAAATTGAGAATTTTGAGGACAATCACAACGTGACGTTCCCGGTACACAAGCTGTTTATCTTGATACCGTCGTCCGGATACATCCCGTCGGATTTGAAGGAGGCATCCCAGTGGATGGAGAGTGCCAGCGAGCTAGAGGAGGAGGTACGCAACCGGGCCGGTAACATACGCAGAACGTACCGCAACAACGCTTACAAGATATATCCCGGTGGAAGAAGTTCAGGAAATGAGCCGGTGTACGTGGTGGCGGAAGGTGCAACGCCTTTGTTAACGTACTACGAGGTACAGAAGCACAATCATCCTGAATCTATCGTATACAAGCGATACAAACGTAAGATTATCGAGATGTTCTATAGAAAACTGCGAGACACCTTGCAAAGCGAGCCAGATACCAGAGATTTGTGTGAATTAATTTATTATAACGATTACGACGCGAAGGGAGACAAGGTTAATGTTGCGACAATAATCTTAGAAAGGATATCTGAAATAAGAGATTCTGCGTAAGTGTCGAGAGAAGTTGAACGACATGTACGTGTCCTGTGATAACGTTTATAATTAAATATATACCTGTCGTTTTCATTTTGATAGTATTTTAATATAATTAATAATAAATACGATCATTTATACAGTTTATACTGCATTTACGTATTTTATAAAGATTGTTATATATGAATTTATATAATATTTTTACCTTGATTTTTACATTTATAATGCAAGAACAATCTAATGTAATATAAGCACTGCGTTTGATGAAATATCAAGTATCTATCTTGCTAAAGAAAGATTTTTGTTATGTATGACAGTCTCTAGCATAACTAGATTGAATTTGCTAATAAAAGCATACATGACCCAATATTATTGCATACAGTGGAGTTTTTTGAAAAAGTATTTACACAGTTTTCTTACAAATAACTTTATTTGAAGGAATAATACATAATTACGAATTGTGTCTACAAGTAACTTATTACATATACTGTATGATTAACTGAGTATGAATAACTGATGATTAACGAGATTTCCACTGTCCCTGTCTACTATCTATCGAAACCACTGCCAAGGGAACGGGCCTGGAAAAATTAGCGGGGAAAGAAGACCCTGTTGAGCTTGACTCTAGTTTGGCATACATACATATACTGTATGTAATAAATTACTTATTATGTATTATTCCTTCGAATAAAGTTATTGTAAGTAAATTGGGTGTGCAAATACTTTTTTGATCCACTAGTTTAAAAATTGTATTCAACTATTATGACTATTTTATTCGTAAATAACGTTTCTCTTTATTTCTATATTTTGACTTATTTTTTAGCAACTTTTGAAGATATTTAAAAAGTATTGTGACTGCAAAGTTATAATTTTTCAGGAGACTTGTACAGATATTTTTTTCCAAAACAAAATTGTGACAATTTAGAATTAAAAGCACAAGCATAAAATTTAATATAATTTCTTAAAAACAAGAGACATGAAGTTTTATTTTATTATACAAAATTTTTTATTTGTTATGTAATGTCCATATGTATATACGTCTTGATTGGTCTCAACCTATCATAAGATATTTTTGCTCAAGAATATAGTTACATTTAGTCACATTTTATACATGGTATTTGAATATCTTGTACAATGTACAAAATAATAACAGTAAAATTTATATGTATAAAACGTATGTATCATTTATTCACAAATACAAGTTCCTTACGAAATACGTTACAAAACATCGCATTTGGCCACTTCAAAAAGGAAGACATGTAAAATATAAGAGATCGCTAATGTCGCATAGACACAAGCACCTTCACATCCACGGCCGTTCTTTATATGCAAATATACGTATTACATTGGTCAAAAGAACTAGCGTCGAGAATTAAATGATTTGTATACAATACATATGAATAAGATATGGCCTTTCGTCAAGGATATAATCTTTCAAAGATTCATAATTCTTAATAAGACCACTGGTAAAAAGGCACAGAATTAAGGCGTGTCAGCCATATACTCCGTGCGATTGTCATAAGACTTGATCAACAATACTTTCGAGCGTGGCTGTGAACACATTTCAGTCGTCACGAACGGCGGTACATTGCATTTGCCTCACATATCCATCTCGAACTGCTCTGCGGATTCCTCGATCACCAGGGAGTCTGTAACGTTATGCAAACGTGAGAAAAGTTCTCTAATATAATTAATATTGTGTATCATCATTAACCGTGCGAATAAACCAGGCTATCATCATTGATGTAGAATATTTCTCGAACAATGCACTATTTGTCCGCTCTATATTTTTTCTTAGGAAGAGAAAGAGTCACATGAAGAGAATCGATTTAGAAATATGAAACAAACTGACCTTTATTATTATTTTTGACGGGATCCTTCGTGATGGCCGGTGTGTTACCCTTCAGTAATTCCGACGGTATGGTCAGCGGGTTTCGCGGTGGCGTTCGCGATATTGGAGAATTCCGCAAATTCATCAGGAACGCACGTTCGTATACGATGCGAGTACCTACACAGAATTCGAAGATATAATTATCTATAGAATCTGCGACTATAATGAAGTTTTTTGCTCAAGTATGTGTTAAATTTTCATTATATATTCTTAATTATTAAATCGATTGACAAAACAGACATATGCGATAAAAAAAGAACTTGGTAAAGGACTTCTTATCTATTACAACCTAATTTATATTTTTATGTACATACAATCTGAAACGACAATTCTTAGGATTAAAAATTATCTGATAAGGTGGCAATATATTAACGACTGTTGGACAAAGTTAAGTTGGTTTTATCACAAATTCGATGTAATCATAATTTTGCCATTTCCGATTTCGATAAAATTTCAGTGAATCTTAATGCTTCAGGCATTGGCTGTAGTTGTTTTTTCTTAGTCGTGGAAAAATGCAAGATTGACTACAATAGAATAGGACAATGAACCGATTTTCAAGAAAAATTCGTAGCGGCATGGTAACGATGACACGCAGGAACGATACAATGGCCAGACGGTTATACGAAAAGCGCACCGCCTATTTATACAAGTATATTTCTGTACACTGACACCTACCTAACTTGAAAGGAGTGCAAGGGTCGGCGAAAATGCCAAAACAAACATAATCGCAGAAAGCACGGAGATACGCGCGAAACGAAGATCGAAAGACGTTAGAATTTGTGTAGAGCACGTATGTTTTTATTCCGTACAACACGAAAGTCTTTCATTATCTTTGTTAACTCTATTTTCGTTTCTTTAGTACGAGACAAAGTAAATTCGTCTTTCTAAAAAAACTTTCTTAAAGAAAAAACTTGAATAGAATTCATTTCGCAAAATTCTCTTTCAATGACACGTGCGACGTAATACGAGTAGCGTCTTTTTTTCTATCTGACAGAATCGTTCGCTAATCTATAATAATAAAGTAATAATAAAGAGGGAATTCATCACAATTTTATAGCAGTTCTACGTCCATCTGCGAAACGGCTGTCTATTGACCATCATTGTTTACATGTCGAGATGTTACGCGAGATTTTCGAAGTTCGCTTACCGCGGCTAAAGTTATCTCGAAGGTCTAGCCATTTTCGCGCTGTGTACAGTGTGTGTATATACCCTTGTTTTTCAGACCACTGTGACTTTCTACGCGCCGCGCTGGCGTGACACGAGCGATAAACATTACGCGTCACCGATTACGCATTGGGCGACGTTCGACATGTATCGCGCGTGCACGCATTAATTCGACCTTGGTTTAACGCCCCAGGAAACGTTGCGGGGCGCAGAACAAAAGCGGTATTTGAGGTATTTGAGTGCACGCGACCTGGCTCACCTGCTTTGTATCGGCGGAATCGCCGACGATCTCGCCATCGAGCTTGGTTTGCGATCATGTTGAAAGGAAAAAAGAAAGAGAAGCAGCCAACTGAATCGCCACACGTGCGGCTCATGAATTATCTATGTCTCAGCCAGATTTTTTATTCATACGATTAACGTCTTTCGAGTCTGGATATTTTCAACTCAAGTCGAAGATGACAGTTTTTTTTTTTTTTTTTTTCCGAGAAATCTAGAAACTGGGTTTAGAAAGGCGATTATTTTTGTCGATATCTTCAAGTTGTACATCTGTATTTTTTTGTAATTTATTACAGAATGTCTTTATCTAATTGTAATATTTATTGACTGCTCTCGTTATGTTTGTAAATCGAGCAGCTCTCTCGGAGAGAACGATTTATTACAAAATATTAACATATAAGTATCAGCGAATAGTTTAAATTACGGTTTTCGTAATATACATTATAGGTATTTAAGAAAAAGAACAATATTGTTATGTTGATTGTTAACAATCGAACTCTGTCAAAATCAAGCAAGATAAATAGATCAGAGTTATCGGTAAGAGATCCGACAATACATCTTTGAATTTTAAAATCTTATCCGATTTCTCTGACAATTTTTCAAATCAAAATGATAAATCGTTCAAACTGACTGTACTGAAAATTTGATGACGCGATTTTTTTTTTTTTTTTTTTTTTATCAGATGACTTCATTTATTAAACCTCAAGAGTGTAAGGTTTTGTTAAAGTCCATTTGGAATATTGTCTGATATAAACTGTAATTGTCAATCAGTAGCGGTTAGTAATTAAAAATAGTATTATTCGTCACTCGAAATTATCGTGGAAAAAACCTCGAATTCGCAGGCCGAAGGAAGTGATGGAACATCCAGTGTAACTTTATTCCGCATTTTTTTTTTTTTGCGTAGCGGATATATTTACTTCGCGGCTCGTCTTCTCTTTACTCCACCTCATGATCGAAGTGACGCGCGTACGAAGAAATATAAACACAAACGCGATAAGTTATCCTTCTGTCGTTCGCTAAAAACGCAATAAGTAGAGCCCGCATTCAGTATATCGCGTTCAATGCCGAGTCCGGCGATCTGAACTTCAGCTTTAATAAGATTAACCCTTCAAGACGTGGCACTGGGTCAACTGGGTGTCATTTGAGTCACATTCGTTTTACCTTCGTCAATTTAATAAATAACTTTCTCCTTGAGAGAAATGGAATCTTCTTTTCAGTACATATTGTTCAACTTTTGCTCATTGTCTTCCTCCGGGAGATAAAAATCAGGGTTTTTACCGCTTTTCTGCGAGCAATAATTAAGAAGATTAACGTGACGAAATATTGGAGAAAATATTAGAAAAGAGAAAACATGTTACGTTTTGTGGACTTAGGCCTTCCGCACAATAGAGCATATATATTAGAAATAAGAATAAATATTAAATATTAGGGGAATCGGAATCAGAAATAATAATTAAACATAACGCACAATAAAAAAAAATAATAAAATATAAGATCTCAATATAGAAATATTTCTATATTTACATAATATTTATCCCTCCGTCTGTATACGTGGGTCTACGGCGTTCGAGCCAAAATAATATCTGCTCGTAATTGTAAAACTTGCAAGCCTGCCAGAAAACATTAAATAAACAATGATTATCAAAATGACTATAAAATCGTCAATTACAAGGTAGACAGTTGTGAATTTTGTGAATTTTTTCCGATTTTTCTAAATACTTTGAGGTCAAACGTGATCGGTCCACGTATACACTCCACGGTGCAAAAAAAAAAACGTATACAGACGGAGAGTTGAAGATTTTTGACTAACGATCTGTCGGACGTAGCTCCGCATATTGATGGTAGATTAACGTCAAGGTCATTGCGTTTTCGCGAACCGATAATTGGCCGGCTATTTCGGGAGGAGTATAATTTCGCGTGCGACGCAAAAGTCTCGAATATTTTTCACGCAGACGGGCGGTCAAACAAACCCGCGCCGAAACGCGCAATTACGTAACACCGTCTCGGTGTTATCGAGTCTGCGTGCGGGCGCGCGAAAGAAAGAGAGAGGGATATATATATACATATAATCGCATGTCGCACTGCGCGTAAATACCAATGGCCTTGACGACATCTTGCACGTGCGCATTTTATTTGCCGAGGTCGCAAACGACTTCGGGCACTGTGTCGGGAAATCTCGAGATTCTCACAACAGTTTACTCTTTCTTTTTTTTTTTATCATTTTTGCAAGAACAGATCCCGGGTGGGCGGGTGCATATAATTCAAGAAGAAAGAACTTTTTTTTATCTCGTTCTTCGCAGATATTTATCCGCAGATTGCCAACGTTGATTCAGTGCGATCTGTTTCTAAATGTAACGTTCTTAATGATACTTATAAATGCATTATCTGTAACAAGCTGTAGGGAGCGGTTGATGGTCAGTGATACAGTCCGGGAGCCTCGGAGCCACGCGCAAAATTAAGGAAAGCATCTCGATGAGAGAGAGACGGAACGCAAAAGGCGGATACACTGACCTCCCGGCGTGGTGGAGTAGAGCGTGCCCCCGGGTGTGGACGAGTAGTCGGCCGGTAGCTGGTTGGGATCGTGAATGACGATCCGCTTGGATGGTATGCTCTGGCTCTGGGTTGCCTGTCTGGCGATGGGAGATGCCGACATCTCGTAGTTGCGTCTCTCTTCTTTCGCGTCGCGTTTACTTTGCGCGTCAATTTGGACGCGGTTTTTCTCTCTTTCTTCTCTCCTCCTCACGTCACGATCACGCCCGCCGTGGGAAACAAAGGCAAGAATTCTCTGTCCGGCGTTGCTATTAGCGATAAGCGGCACCCGTTGCGCAGCAGGGTATGCACGCGATTCCTAATGGAGGACGGAGCGTGACTTTTATAACCGGTTCGGCTTTTCGCTCGTGCAGTCGCGGGCAGAGACTGATACACGCGCGGTTCCACGTGCGAATTTTAATGCGATTTTAATGCGCGCTATCGGACTCAGCGCGACATAACCTACGAGACGGATGACGACGGGGTGGACATCGACTCATCTCACGCAATGTGCCGTGAAACGCGATAAGCCAACGTCCCAGGGGCTACAATCTCCCATGGTTTTGGAGGAGCCAGCGTTTGTGGCGCCCTCGCTGTATGTCACCCACAAGAGCTGAACTAATAATCAATATGGCTGTCGGTATCAGTCGGTATTTACCTTTTGATTACGCGTGATCACGCATTACACAGGTTGAGGTTACTGTTCATTACTGTTATTAAAATAATCAAGTGTTATCCAATATTACGTGCTTTGAATATCCGACCTGATCCAATCAGACTAACAAGAAGCTATAATTGCTAATTAACTGGTGAGTAATGTGGTAACTGATTTATTATCTCAATTGGCGTTCTGTCAGTACATTTCACAATATTGTTATTACTTGTTGTTATTAGGTCGCATTATTACCACTATAAATTACCCTCGCTATAAATTTGGTAATATGGTGAGAAGATGTTGTGTCTCGGAATGTCGGTCGGGAAAAAACGTTCCCTCTCATGCGTTCCCAAAGGATGTCGAACGTCGCAAGAAATGGTTTCAAAAATTGAATATGAAACAATTAGAAGATGAAAGTGAAATTAAAAAGTTAAGAATATGCTATAAGCATTTTCGTGATGATGATTACAGCGGTTCTCCAACAAGAAGAATATTACTGCACTTTGCAGTCCCATCTGTGCTTGTGTCACAACACATATCAAACGTATCACAACATGTATCTGAAAATATTAATGTCGATTATAATGAACATGGAAAACAACATATAGAACAACATGAAGAACAACATGAGCAGACATTGCACATATCAGAAGTATCACAACATACATCTGAAAATATTAATGTCAATTATAATGAACATGGAAAACAACATATAGAACAACATGAAGAACAACATGAGCAGACATTGCACATATCAGAAGTATCACAACATATATCTGATAATATTAATGTCGATTATAATGAACATGGAAAACAACATATAGAACGACATGAAGAACAACATGAGCAGACATTGAACAGACAAGAACAAACATTGTTGCACGAACAAGAGACGTTGCAACAACAAAACAATATGTTGTTGCGACAAGAAAAAAATGAAAAAGCATTGGCTGAACAGCAAATTGAACTGCAAAAGTATAAAGAAGCCACATCGTTTGCGTTAAGGCAACAACAAAAAGATATCGAGAATATTCAAAAGACATTGAATGAACAAAATGCACGATTAAAATTATGTGCAAGACCCAATCTTCAAGAAATTACTCGTAAAAATTTATTAAGTCCTACAGCGAAGAAATTATACGAAAAAATAGTAAAAATGAAGAAAGCTTATAGACGATTAAAGAGACTTACTAACGTAGCGAAAAAAAACAACAGGTCACGAACAATACAATTATGTACAAATGATCATAAAGGGAATATAGATACAACAGCACATGTACGGCAGAATTTTATGAATATGCTCATAAGGAACCATGATAAAGCACCACAGGTACATTTCCAATCTTAATCGAAAATCTAATCTTATTATCGTATAAACATTTCTGGTCATTATAATAAAACAGTATTTAGTCTCTGACAACACTTGCAATTTTTATGGAATTTTTTACATTACAATCAGGAATTTGATCATTATAATTATGTAAATATGAGTTTTTTTATACTTAAACTACAGTTTCTAATATGTATATTAAAAGATTTATTGAAATGAAAAAAAAATTTTTGGATTAAATAATGTACAGTAGTTATTAAATCGTATTTTAAGCCGTCGTATAAACGTAATCAATAATTACCAGGAAAATCCGGGAAATATCACGGCATTTTTTAAATAAAATTTGGATCATATCCCTATATAATTTTCTAATTTTTTTTCATAAATACAAGTATTGTTCAATAACTTTTCCATAATTTCTTTATAGAATATTTATATGAAATGTGTATAGATTAGGAGGAGTCTACAATGATAGAATTTAAGGTGGAAAATTACGTTTTATGCCTTAAGCTGTAAGAAATTGACAAATCACAGTTGTATGTGAAAAAAATATTTAACTATGATTTGTCAATTTCTTACAGCTTAAGGCTTAAAGTATAAATTTTACACCTCAAATTCTTATTGTAGGTCCCGCTTTATGCTTTGTATATTTATATATTTACTAACATTATGTTATATTTTTACTATCATAACCTAAGCCCCAACAAATTAAAAATTATAGTTGATTATTCTTTTTGAATTCACACTTACACAAGCCGTCAATAACGTTTTTTCGCTTGAAGTTAACTACGTTTCCGAGTTGAGGAATCATATCAAAATGATGTATGAATATCTAGATGTGATAAATACATGTAATATTCTTTTCATTGATATCTTATGTTGATATAATTTTTGAAAAATATGTATTTTTTAAATTTATTAACAGGCCAGACGTTTTACGGTTGAAGAAAAGATATTTTGCATAGGAATTTGCCGTAGATCCCGCTTATCATACAAATTTCTCTCCAAATATCTATTGTGTCCTTCAATAACTACTTTGAATAAACAATTGCAAACTATTCCTTTAGACACTGGGTGCAATAATATCATGTTCAAATATTTGAAATTAGTCGCAACAGAAATAGATCCCAAAGATTTACACGTAGTATTAATTTGGGATGAAATGTCATTGCAACCTGCCCTGCATTATGACAGAAGTAAAGATAAAATGGTTGGAATCGAAGATTGGGGGATGCGAAGAACGAGAAAATTTGCTGACCATGCAATCATGTTTTACATTCGATGTCTTGCATCTGGTAATCATATGCCTATTGGCTATGGTTTTTGTAATAGTGCAACTCGTACTGCTCAACTAATAAGATGTATAAAGCAATGGTTAACAGTAATTATAAAATGTGGCTTCAAACCTGTGGCAACCGTATGCGATCAGGGAGGGCAAAATATCGCAGCAATTAATATGTTGATAAAAGAGACTAATAATCTACGGTATAAGCAGCATAATAATCCTAGTAAGTAAATTTTAGTTTGTTATTTAATTTTATAAATTATAATACTTAATTCGTTTCTTTTGTAACTATTTCTTACATATCATGTAATATATGCTCATTAGGCTTTATTTTTATTGCAGAAAATACATTTATTATTGGAAACCATGAGATCGTTCCTCTTTACGACTATGTGCACCTACAGAAAGGTGTGCGTAATAATTTATTAACGAAAGATTTGGTTAATAATAAGTATAAGAAAGAATCGGAAAGACAATTTGCATCATGGAACGATATTGTAATAGCATATAAAATGGATATATATTCTTTTCTAAAACAGCGACAGATGCCAAAGTTAAATGACAGACACATTTTCCCGAATCTCATTCCAAAAATGAAAGTGAAATATGCAACGCAAGTAATCAGCCATACCGTAGCAAATTTTATAAACATCGTACTTACATGGAATAAAGGTAAAGTGCATTCATTATTGCCATATAAAATGATAAATATGTTTATTTAAGTTATGTAATACAATACAACGGACATAATACTCAAATGCTGTTTTTTATTACAGGTATTGTGAATACCGTAAAGGGGGAAATGTGCCTACCAGCCAGTGCTGCAATAACAGCAGACATAATATTATTTTTCGATAAATTGTTTGACTCCTTTAACAAAAAAGAAAATAAGGAATTGTCATGTATTATAAGTCCAGTAAGTAAACACATTTCATTTTGGCAAAATGCTGTTAATAGAATTCGGCAAATGGATTTTGTTGAAAATACAACCCATAAACATATACGACATAATGCAAAATGTCTAACGAATTGGATATGGACTATCAAAGGGGCACAGTATGTGTGGAATATACTGCAAAAATGTGGATTTTCTTCATTCAATTTAAGATATCTGAATCAAGATCTTGTAGAAAACTGTTTCAGTCAGATTAGAGATCACGGGCACAGAAACAATAATCCAACCTCATATCAATTCTGTGCTTCTTTCAAGACGCTTGTGACGACAAACTTGACATCTAAGCATTCTATTTCTTCTAATTGTAAGGAAAATGATGAAGGGACATCATTATCGCTATCAAAAATGATTTCTACAGCTGCAAGTTGTGAAAACGACGAAAAAGAAGAAGAAACTGAATGTACAGATTCTTCAATACCATCAGCGACAAATTGTTATATTTTCGTGGATACAGATAAAATAATAAAAAATATTATAACGAATAAAACTGTAATGCAATGTGCAGAATGTGTACAATGGCTAAAAAATGAGGATATTTTAAGAACTATAGAGCACGCATTTCAAGTTGCAGAATTGAAATTTGTAAACTTCTTCTATGAAACAGAAATCAAGAAGAAATTAAAAAGTATTTTATATTTAGAAGTATTTACAAGAATTTCAACACATTGTTCCACGCTACTTGATTATTTAATAGAGGAAACTGCACAAGAGTTTATTGTTCAATGGTGCAAATTTATTAATAAAATATTAAATGGAACCCAACAAGAAAATTATGAAAACAACTACATTTATAATGAAGCGAAAAGAATGTCAATGAGGTTCACAAAAAAGAAAAATTTGAAGCAAACAAAATAATTGTATCAATCTAAAAGAAGTGGCACCATCTTTCGACAGATTGTAAGTATATTACAGTGTCTTGATTATTTTAATTATTATTAATTAAATTATCTGAAATTGAAATAAATATTTTATGTGCAAATTAACAATAGATTAGTGACAGTAATTTTGGTATTTTTTATTTATATATAGCAGTAATAATTATATAGTAGACGCACTTTTTGTATCAATAATATATTTCTTATTAAAAATTATGTCAAAAGTTATTTTATATCACTAAATTATTGAATGTTATATACTTAATTGAAACAAACAACTTATTTTTTTTTCTTTTTGCAATTTTATTATAAATGATTAAGACGCTATTTTTCTTATCAATTTTCTAAATAACTGATAATAATTTGTCTACGTGTACACATATATTGCTGATTTATTTGCGCAGACAATAATATTACTGCAAATAAATGTTTATATTTTGATTCGACGTTCTTATAACTCACACAATCTATATCGTGTAAATTTTTTTTTTGCAGGACGAGGTGAACACACAAATTGCAATAAACAATAACAATAACAATAACATTAACAATAATTGAGTAAACACAAAAATTGCAATAAAGCTATCAAAAGAATAAAAAATTTAAGAAATAAAGATACTATTTAACCAATGGTACGATTTATCAATACTCCTCTCTAATTTTATAAAATTGCGATAACAAAACATTCACTATTTACACATTGTTGCGATAACAAAACATTAACTATTTACATCCAAATTAAATTTATATTCAAAAAAAGTCGGCAAAAATAATCGGATGTGATAGTCGAGACAACTATAATCGGTCATCACATATGCATATTCATGTGCATATATGCTACGGTTATTTATACTTTTGTGATAAATAAAATATTGTATCAATATAACTATTACGAGCGTTTCTTTTTTAATACAAAATTTAATTTTTTACTTATATATATATATATATACATTTTACTTATATATATTTTACTTATATATATATATATATATATCCAGAGCCGGGATTTAGTTGCACATTTCGTGCCGATTCTCGATTTGAAACACGATGTCCGCAAAAATCGTACTTTTGATCGTACTTTTTCGACTCGGAGTCGGGTCGAGTCAGCAAATCGAATATGCTATAAATCCTGGCTCTGATATATACACACACACACACACACACACACACACACACACACACACATATATATATATATATATATATATATATATATATATGTATATTACACATGTACATATACATATATACATATATATATATTTTTTTTTATTTATATAGCTAAGAAGTATGTATAAATAGCGGCGCACATTTACCGACGCGGTTCGGTCATATTGGCCAATTAGTTCGGCTCTTGTGGGTGACATACAGCGAGGGCGCCACAAACGCTGGCTCCTCTAAAACCATGGGAGATTGTAGCCCCTGCAACGTCCGCTCAGTCCGCTGTCCGCTTATATAAGCTTTCCCCACCCTCTCGCCCTTTCGTAGGATATTCGCGGGGCTGGGGGGGGGGGAGGCAATGCGACCGACTCGCAACAAAAGACGCGAGATGGTTGGTGGAAGGGGGCTCAAGGGGGTGAGAATCGGCATCGACGAGGTAATATCGAAGATAGCCGGCCCTACGTAAATTTTCGTGACTCTCGGCCGGATTTAGCGGGCTCAAGTGGATAATTGATAAATAATATGGCCACGTTCAGCAGAACGTTCATTTTGCAACTGTTGGAAGTTTTCTGAGCTCAGATTGGATTATTCCTCTAGATCTGAAAAAATAATCCAATCTGAGCTCATAAAACGTCCAACAATTGCAAAATAAACGTTCTGGTGAACGTGGCCATTGATATTATCGATTTAAATGAATAATTGAGTAGAAGTAAAAAGCTTTGAAAAAAATATATAATATTATACGAGGTGTGACTTAATACGTGAGCGCATACTACCAGGCGGGCGCCTCACTGACATACGCTCGTCTAAAAGACAGCTGATTGGATTGACTTTACTCAATAATTACTGCTTTATTAAGCATTATAGAAAAAAATGCTAAGGACTTTTTGATTCAATTTTTGATAAGAAATATCGCCGCGTGATAGTGGGCGCAAATTAAGTGATACCCTGTATATAATGTAAATAATATAAAATTGTTATAAATACATTTTTGTTTGTCTAATTTTTTTTAAACTGTTTAAAAAAGTTATATTTGAATATACAAACGTGTAAACGAAACGCCTTCTCATTGGCTCACGAGACTTGTGACATCACTGTGACAACTAGTTCATATCTCCATAAAGGTAATGTCCCATGACACTTATTTTCCGCGTAACCAATCAGAAGCGTTTCGCGTTTCCCATTACGCATATTCACGCTTCTGATTGGTTACGTGGAAAATATGTGCCATGGGACGCCATCATCCTAAAGTATTTCATATACTGAGTCCTCGGATTAGTCCAGGGAGGATTAATCTGCACAATCCTTTGGGTCTAACGAACCCACGGACTCGAGTTTATCACTACGGACACCCACACGCAGTAACATACTACACACACTCACAAATACACATTTCCGATTTTGTATTCAACTGTACCACTTGCTCTGGCCGTATTGTATTCTGTAAAGAGGAGGCAGGTGCCATTTACTTTTAGACGAAGAAGTCTACCGATCCGGTCTACCGCTTCTCATGCGCTTATTTGCTCAAACATTTTAGTTAATAACTCAATAACTATTGCAAATTGTGCAAAATGGTAAACGACTTTTCTTTTTAATCTATCTCCCCAATCTATCTCCATCTTTCATTACATCGAATCGAACATGCCGTATATTTATGTTAATATTAATAAACAGATACTAATAATATATTTATGTAATTAACTAAAATTATAGTATACAGGGTGTCCCATTTTAACTTTCGCACCGTAATATCTCGGGAATCAATGATTTCATTGAAAAATGTTTCGGACAAAAGTTGTATGGTTTAGAGGGGACCATCAAATGAGCTGACTAAATTTTGGGTCCAGCGCCAACTTTAGACCCAATAAGACCCAACTTGATTTTTTAAAATGGAAACCCCAATTTATTATTGTATCATTTTTTTCTACTAATTAATTTGAACAACTTTTGTCTGAGACATTTTTCTGTTTGCCTGATACTTTTTGAGATATTCAAGGAAAACTTGGTAACTTTTTTCAATATTTTAGCTTACGATATCTCGGCAATTGTTTGTCGGAGGGAAAAGTGGTACAGGACTTCTTCACTTCATTTCGTCTCAAGAATATGCTATTGCAATAGTACTTCAATTTTTTTTAAATATTTGTGTATGCATCTCCTTGGAGTTTTCATGTATAATATAATAATTCAAAAAATTAAAATTTAATACGGGCAATAAGAGCCAAGCGTGCCGTTTTACCGCTCAAATATATTATAAAATACATGTGGTCAAAGTTACGAACGTTTCGACCTTTTTTGGGGTCCTCCTCAGCGCATTATATAACAGTAAATTCTACATAAATAATAACTCAAACTATCGATTGGATATACTTAGAACTTGACCGGTTGAGCGGTTATTGAGATATCAAAATCTCGGGTACTCGCAACTCGTGCGTTCGCGTAAAAGAGTCACGGTGCGGTCTCGCTTCGCGGGTACTTGGCACGAGACGCTACCGTGTCTCTTGATATTCATGTGATTAACTAAAATAATAATATACAATTAAATAATATATTACATGCTATTATTTTAATTAATTTATATAATAGACAATGTATAACTACAATTAAAAAAATATCTTTCAGGAACATAAAATAAGTAAATTCCACAAAAAAGAAACGCCAACAGTACGCGGTGTTCCCAAACGGTCACCCATTTAAGTACTAACCGCGCTCAACGTTGCTTGACTTAAGTGATCGGACGAGAACTTGTAGGTTCAACGTGATTTGACCGTTGGCGAAAGTATCTTTCTTACAAAGAGATAACACACTTCTTCATCAATTTTCATATTATAAAAAAGAAAAAATTTTTTAAACCACCGATAGTGCGTTAAACTTGAAACTTCAGGCTTTAAAATGCCTTAATTTTTAAATCGATTAAAGGGAAAGAGGCAGATTAAAGGGAAAGATGCCTTAATTTTTAATTTTTTGTCTACGATGATTTTTCGCCGAGTATCGACATCATTTCTAAAAAGTACAGATTTAGTTTCAAAATCGTATAACTCGGTGAAAAAAAAATTGTAGAAAATAAAAAAAAAAAACGTTTTGTAGGCAAAATATAGTTTACGGAACTTATCAAATTCTTAAAAAAAAAAATAATAATAATAATTCCGAGAAATTTTTTAAATAAAAAAAATTATAATAGTAAAAAACAAAATACAAAAAATAAAAACCTAAAAATTAATTGGTAAAAAATTAGTTTTAAAAAATGACCCCCGACTACTGCCTAAAATAAGTTAACCCTCTGGCCAGCTAACCGTTTGTTAAAAAACAAAAAAATAAGTACATGGATACATAATTATTGTTATATAAGAATGTAAAACATATATATATATATATATATATATATATATATATATATA